GAATTTTCCTTGTAGTGTTTTGCTGACCTTATAATTAGGCTTTTACTGGACATGGGGGACAGTTGGGTAATGTCTTTGTCCCCATTAACTGCCAGATCACTACAGAACATGGGCATTCCTTTGCAGCCTCAAGAGCATTGTGTTCATACTGTAATCCTTTGGTGGACACGTCACATGCATGTTGCAACTCCTGTGAGTTTCCATGTTAATCGAAATACCAGTGTTAATTGTGGAAAGTTAGTCATGCAGACTCAGATGGAAGGGGAAGCTTTTTGAACCAGCTCTTTCGTAATTGCATGTGTTCTCTAAGTGCTGATCTTTGTGATGCAGGAGCGCTGTGATGCTCTGTGGTGCTGGGATCCTTGTGTGCACTGGGGTCTGAGTACCAGGATGTGCTTTAGAAAGAAGCTGCAGGTGGGAGCAGTACCACAGCCTGGTGCTCAGGTGCCCTGGAAAGATGCCAGGAGATAGGAGCTGCTTTAGAAGAACTGGGGGCACTGACCGGGAAACAAACACACTTTCAAATGTCCATGTTCCCTTTAGAGGCTGAAATGAAAGAGAGAACTTCCAGGAAAACTCAGCTGAGTGTGGCTGCTCTCGGGGTACAGAACCTGGCTCTGCCTTTGAGGAAAGGCCTTGTTTTCCAGGCATGTGTGGACAGTGCTGTCCTCTTCAGAGGCAATTGTGCTACCTTCTGAAAGCAGCTCCTCTGGGCAGTGTTACTTCCAGGTGAGGAGGCAGGGAAGAGCTTTTCCTCTGTGCCAGAGCACTGGAGCATGCAGAGCAATGCTGGGGCTGAGCTCTGTGCCTGCTCGCTGGAGGGATTGCAGTGTCTCTGGTGTGAAAAAGAAACCATTCATAGATGGAGGGATTTCCTGGAGTCTGCTGTGCTGCTGTATCCGGTTTGATTTCTTTCCAGCATTTCCTTTAAGTAAAGCGAGACTAGATTTCCATGGTGGTGGTGTGCTGGTCAGAATGGATAACTTCCCCCAAACTGCTAATTTTAGGATATTTTTAAAGGTGTAGGATAGACTTAAATAAGAATAGAAAAAAGAATATGTTGATATAGAGAGAACTGACAGTGGCACCTATGTACCCCCAACTTGAATTACTTTAGTAGATCTTTTTGAGTAGTATTTTTTTTCTAAGAATTTCAGAGATTTCTCCTGCATGTATTGCACTCCGTGCTTTGTAGGTCACCTGGTAGAGGTGACATTTTGAGGTCTCTTTGTGTACATGTTGCCCAATTGTTCTGAAAAAAAAGTATGGTAAAAAAAATATATATATATATTTGCTTTGAAATGCTAAATGAGTTGATTTTTTTTCTCTGATGGATCTGTGATTTATTTATTTTAGTTTGGTGCATACCTGCAGTCTAAAAAAAATAAAATATATATATATATACACACAAAACCCCTACACAGGTGAAAAATAAATGAGGTATGTTGAAATATGGGCAGATTTAAGGGTAATGTGGCACGTGGTTGGAGTTTCCTAAGGAGCCTGAATATACCACCACCTTGCATCATGTTGCATTCAATCTGTAAATACCTTGAAGGCAGATACTTTGCTGGCTCAAGCAGAAGAAATACATTGTCTGCACTGTCCCCTGTCTCTATTGTAGCTGGAATTGCATGCTGCTGGGCTTTCTGTAGCTATGATTTCCTGCTGTGAAGTCCTGGCTGCCTTCACAAGACAAAGCAAGCATGATGCTTGTGGGGAGCTCTCTTAGGACGGTCTGTGGTTTGTGTGATACCTTCCTTGCCATAGGCAAGTGGAGGGTGGTGGCTGGACTGGAGGGGCAGGGAGAAGGAGACTCATGGGAACAGGGTGGGAGCTGGTGGGATTGTGAGACGTGAGGAAATGGGTTTGTTCAGCTATTCATGAGGAAGGGAAGGTATTGCTGGCTGCTGAAGAAGGGCTGTTGGCAGCAGTCTGCATCTCGGGGTGTGTCTTGATGTGCAGAGGGTCAATTCAGAACCCAGGATAACATCTGAAAAGCATCTTTGAAGACTGCCAGTAACTGCATTTGGAAGGCAAAGCTTGTGCAAAGAGGAAGGCTGGGATGTGAGGTTTCAGTGAGTGTTTGCTGTAGGCTTCCTGTGTAAACACTGCGCAGCCTTTGAGTGCCTCCAGCTGCGCATACAAGTGGGGATAGCGTGTCTGCTCCTTTAAGAGTGCTGCCAATGGCAATGAGTTATTCCTTGTAGGAAATTAGTTAATCCCTGTAGGAACAATGTCAAGACGGGGGCCACACCAGAACAAACTGAAATAGCCAAACTCCACTTTTGTCCTTGAAAAGGCTCAGATGAAGCCATGTTCTGCACTGAGCCAGCTGAGCGGAGGTTCACAGGAAGCAGGAGCTGCTGTCATTTGGCTGTATGCAGTGCACACAGTAAAACTTGGTCATTCAGTGTCCAGGCCTGTTTTCACTGTGTCCCATTTTTATGTTGGAGAAGCCCAAGAGGCAAACAGATGTGCTGGTGCACTTGCACATGCAGTGGCACAACAGACGTGCCAACACAGACTGTTGCTGAGCTGTAGTGTAGCCACAGGCTTCCTACTGCTGCTTGTTTCATCCCCTCCTCTTCTGAGCTGTGCTCACTTGCTGCAGTGGGTGTGAAGTTGAGCATAGCTGCTCCTGGCTGCTTCCAGCTGCTTGCATTTGTGTGTCAGCTTTTACTGAGCTCTCATCACGATTTAGGACTTGGTAATAGACTATGAGAGTTGAGGCCATTCATCTACTTTGGCCACGGGCAGAGAACAAAAAGGGTATTTGTACAGTGAAATGGCACTGAATGTTCTACATCAGTGTTTTACTTTATGTTTACAGGGCAGAGGGCACAAAAATAAAATAAATGGGAACAATAAGGTACATTAGCACACATCTAACTCCATTTAACCACCTTTATTTGTAAATATTTTTGTGGTTGTCTGTGTTTTAAAGAAAAGGGGGAAAATTCTCCTGCCTCTCTACCCTTGTTTGAGGAAGGGAATGGGCAGTACTTTGTGGCTGGCTCTGCTGTATTGCTGTGGATGGGTGAAAAGCTCTGCATTTTGTTTGTCACCTGACAAGCTAGTTTATATTTAGATTAGGAGAGAAAGTGTGTGATTCTGAAAGCTGTGCTTTCACTCATGCAAAGGCCAGGCCACGTGTGCTGAGTTACCAGAATGAAGTTTGATTTGTTTGCTCTTTTTCCTGTGACTTAGTAGTTACAGTCCTGCTGTGTCAAACACGTGTTCCTTGAAAGAAAGGCACACAAAGGAGAGGTCTTGTGCCATCTGAGGAGACTTCCTCAGTACCAGCCAGCACAGCAGGGTCTCCTTGGAGGGACAGGAAGTTTGGAAAATCCTGTTCCTTTGGTGTTATCATCTTGGTCTCAGCTGAACTGTGTCATGACACTGAGCAGGGCATCAGCTTGTGAGTGGCAAATGCCATCTGTATGTCAAACGCCATCCATAAAGCTGTGGTTTTGTTTCCAGCTGAGTTGTTGCTCTTGAGAACAGTGTGGAAAGTTCAAGCTGGTACACGAGGGAACATGATTATCCGTTTCTACCTTCTCAGTACCCTGAGCAATTAAACACAAAAGCCTTTGTTCCCTGGTGATTTCATTCTTAAGAGGCCTCTTTAATTTTAGTCCTTAGTTTCAGGAAGAAATAATGGGAATTTGTCATTGACAAGAAGGCTGCATTTCTCAAATGTCATGTGAAGGATCCACTCCATAATTCATGTGCTGGGGAGTGTGGGTGTCAAAAGGAGGGTGTGTAATGAAGATGAGAAATTTCAGTTCAATGAAACTGTTGGTCTTAAAGTCAACTTTACTTGCCTTCAGGACACTTTCTTGACCCAGATCACCACGCTTTTTGCTAACTCATCCACATATCCAGATATTTTTAGATTTTCATGAGTGTGATGGGTTATTGGTTATTTTTGTACAGCTTATTCCTCTTCCAGTGTGGACAGGGACTTGCACAGTGAAACCAGAGCAGTGCTGACCAATTTCTCTTGTTTCTGTTGCTTCTGCACCCGAAAGCCATGCATTTGTATGTGTAGAAGTGCTGCTGCCTACTTATCAGCCCTGGGTTCCGAGTTTTGCTTGTTGTGTGATGAGATGCATATTGCTGTTGGTGTGCTGAGAAAGGGACCTTCTCTCTCCTCTGCTGTAGGACATCAGTAAGAGCAAATCTGGCTTGGGCTGTGGGGGTCTGAATGCAAATGGGGACTATCGGCTTCCTAGTTGCTGGACAATTGCAGCAGACACAGGCCTACTAAAGGGGACTGACTGCGCTGCCAGATCTCTCCAGGCTGGAGGGGTCACTTCCTTGTGGTCAGCCACTGCCTCCCAGCTTTGTCCACGTTCCTGTCCTTGGCAGAGTACATTAACTATATGACTCAGTCTGAAGTGAATTAAGGAGCTGCTTGTATGATTTTCTTCTTACAGTCAAGCTGAAGGTGTTACGAGCTCTGACAGAGCTGTGCTAATAGCTGAGCAGCAGCAATGATGCCACTGCAAAACTAACCTCCAGCAGTAGAGGTGCAGCCTTTATTTCAGCGTTTCTTCTTCCAGTCTTTCTTGTAAAGTGTGCTTGTGTGCAGCTGCAGGAAGCTCCTCTGTGCTGCCAGTGGTCAAACCCCATCTGCCTGGGAGCTGCATGGGGCACACTGGTACCTAGGGTGAGCTTGAGCTCTGTTTCAGGAGCCATTGCCTGTGAGTAAGACAGACGTAAGCAAATAAGCATTAGCTGTGGAGCAGTCAGTTTTCAGTGGAGCTTCCTAGTACAACTTACAAAAGCTGTGAGACTGAAAAATAAACTTAATAAAAAATGAACTGAAGAGATACAGAGCCGGAGCTTTTGATGCAACTGTGTCCCTGTGTACGTCTGCAGGAAATGAGTCACATTCTTACAAAACCATTGGCTGAAGAATTTGTGACTTTTATGACAATTCCCATTTTGGGCTAAGTCAGATCTCTTCCTCTCTCTAGGCTTTTCTCAGGCATCAGGAATGTCTTCTGAGCCCACTTCATCTGCCTCGCAGCAGTCCCCCACCTCTCCACCCTCACCTAGTTCTCTCCACCTGCCCGAAACCCGCAGGGCAAGAGACCGCTCCCCGTCGCCCATGAGAGGGTACCTCATTCCCAGCCCGCTGCCCACCCGACGGACCAGGACCTTCTCAGCGTGAGTATGGGAAACCTGCACTTCACACACACACCAAACAAGTACCTCTGGGCACCATGATGGGCCTTGGCTGAGGTGAAGGGAGTCAGTGGGGGTGGGGGTGGTTATATCTGGAAGGTGCTTTGGTGTTTTCCTCTTCTCCAAGAAATCCTGTTGTTACTAGACTTTTAGTCCAAATTGCCTGTAGTTTGTCAACGCTCTGTTTGTGTAAAGGATGCTCAAAGTCTTCCACTCTAAGATCAGAGTTTTACAGGGAAGGGAAAATACACTGGGATTTTTCAAAACAGTTTCTTACCTGAAGCTTTATTTCACTTCAGACACTGGGTTGTGGCTCTCAGGACCAGTTCCCACTGGTGTTTTCTTCATCAGCTCCACCTCATATTTTGGCAAGACCTCTCTTCTCACTGCCCCTAATGCACTGGACCTGACCTCGCTGGAGGTTTTAGTTCTTCCAGTCTTGACATCTGTGCTACTGTCAGCCAGGTTCTGTTTTAGGGATGGTCCATGACCCTGTCCCTTTTCAAAGGGCCTGTTTCCTTTTCCTATTCAGCTTTCATATCTTCATCTTAAGATTGCTCACGTAGACCTGTAAAAGAGTATGTTGGTTTTCAAGGTATGAACCCTCATCTCTGATTCTCTGAGATTATGCGAGTTTTTCCATAAAATGAGGTTTGTTGCTATTTGTAGTTCTTTGAGGTAGGGATCCTACAGCAAAGTTGGCTTTCCCTGAGCTTTCCTGTGGCCCAGGTGGTGCTGTGCAGATTCCTGGAAGCCCCCTGCCTGAAGGGGATTCCTCCACAGCACAGCAGCAGAGGATGGTGTTGCAAGGTTTGGCCATTGCAAAAAAGTCTCCGTGCCTGTGATGGGCCTCCCAGTGAGGTGCTGACCTGCAGAAGGCATTGTGGGCTTCTTTTGTTAATTTCAGTGGCCTTTAAATCGAGGTCTGAGAGTAGAATATGAAGCTGTCATCAGTCTGTTGCACAGTCTTGCAATTACTTCCATGTAAGGGAGGTCTGAGTGAGACACTGTGGAAGTAAGATCTCAAACCCTCAGCTAGTTTATTTTGTGCCCCTTAATCTAGTTGGCATGCTTTTTCCTTTTTGATTCTTGCAGTGTTACCCAGATCTTTTCTTCAAGAGTTATCCTTGCAGATTTAAAAGCATCAATCTCAATGATGCTTGGTATTATGGCTTCTGTATTCAAAATGAAATGAAAAAGAACAGCAGCAGCAACAGAAAAATGTGTGTGTCAGTTCCAAAAGCCTTCAAATGCCCTAAACTTTGTAATGGAAGTACATTGCTAAAAGGAACATAACTGACTTGATAATTGGGAGTGCCCTTGAAAAGCAGTTCCAAACTAGATTGCCTCAGTGCCATGTTAATAATGAACTCTTTGTAATTCTTCTCGGCTGTTAATCCTAGTCTGGGTCCTACAAAACTAAAGAATTGGTTAAAGAACTGGTAATTTGACTTCCATAGTTCTTCAATCGTTAATTACTGTAGGAATCTTGCTGCATTTGTTTGCCCTGAAAATCAAAATAACTATAACTTTACTTTTTTTTTTTTTTTAGTGTCCTCTTTATACAAGAGGAGTTCTAAGTGAGCTCTGTCCCCATAGCTGTATTGAAAAGATGAATGTGACAGGGCAGCGGCTGCTTATTCAGTGGGATTATTTATTTTTGGTTCATTGCAAGCGGTGGGCCTTTTTCCCCATAGTACTTTATCTCCTTGAAAGCTGCAATTGAACTTCAATGGCTTATTTAAGGCAGTGAGTGCTTTTCTGTGTAAGAAGCACTTGTGGAGTCAGGTGCGGCTTTACAGAGATGAAGATGAAGTGATTTAATGGAATGGAGATTTCTTCTTTCTTTAGCACTTTCAACTGTATTTCTTTAGTTTTAGTTTGACTTAAAGCACAGAGCTGCTGCCACGTTTTTTAAATGACTTTAGACTTCAGTAAACTTTAAACACTTGGGAAAGTGATGTCAAAATTGCCATGATGCATGTAACCAAACGGCAACACAATCACTTACTGGGTTTGAAGAATCCCACTAAAATCCTCTTCTAACCTACTGGATAGTCATGGCATAAGGAGGTCCTGATCTAGTAATTCCTCTGTGTAAGTCCTATAAGAAGTCTAAACCAGTTGGCTTTATTAATGAAAGTATCTGAGATTGCATCTCTGGAGATACAACTCAGCATATTTGATGGGGAAAAGTATTCAGTCACAGAGTTTTCAGGATGGATCATGCAAGTTGTTTTTCTTGATTCATAGGAAGTCACTTTAAAATGCAGGTCCCATGATAGTGAAGATCAGTCTTGATCTTGGTGTTTTGCATAACAGCTAGGCTTTATAGCCTGATGGAGTCATTTGGAGGTGAAATACTGACTTCACTGAATTCTAGTCTGGCAGGGTAACAATAGACATGTATGCAGAAGGGGTGTGTGTATGTATTTATACACGACATGTGTACACGTTATGTCATCATGCATTGCATTACCTGATACTGCTAAACTCGCAAAAGGTTTAAGATGCTTATATTTAGCATAGCGTCCAGAGGAAAATTCAGCAGGGTGATACAGCAGATGGATTCAAGATGGCAGCTGATGGATTATAATGCTAGCAAACATCATCATCATCTTTATCTCCCGTAAAAAGGCTACAGGCAAAACACGGGCAGTGTATGAAACTGAATGTTAAGCAGTTGCTACAGAGGAGTGTACCCACGGGGAGTAGTTGGACCATTGAACCCAATTGCTTAGCAGGCCCTGGCTGGCACCCCCAGAATATGTCGCATCCAATCTCAGCAATGAACCACTCTTTTTGTGCTTTCTTCTGCAGAACCGTGAGAGCATCGGAGGGTCCTATCTACAAAGGTGTCTGCAAATGCTTCTGTCGCTCCAAAGGCCATGGATTTATTACCCCTGCAGATGGAGGGCCTGACATCTTTGTACACATCTCTGAGTAAGCTGTCTGGGTGGCCAAAAAGGCTGGAGCTTTGGTTTGCTTCAGTTACTGCATGCTTTTGCTGTTTCAGATACAAGAATGGTTTATAACCTGTCACCTTTACCTCAGCAAAGAGGAGTTATGCAGATGTTACTGGCAGCGATAGATTATGCTGTTCTTTTCCTGGATTACTATAAGTCTGATGAGTTAAAAACTAGAAGATGATCCTGTCAGATCTCTTGGAATAAGCTGTGTAGCTTCACCCAGGCCCAGAAACTTGCATTTACCTAAAGCAAATAATCTATGCAGTATTCAGTTGTAATTTAAAGATTTATAACACTGAAAATTCACTACTTCTACTTTGCACTGCTTGTGCCATTATTAAACTAAAGGTTAATTACCTTTTACTTCTAAGAAAAGTCATACTTTATTACTTCCTTGAATTTATCTAATTTCAGTTTCGAGCAGTTTACAGCTAAAGCTTTCTCTGTTAAAGGGTTCATTAGTACCTCCACTTTTTTGCCTTGAACGCACTGAGAACCATCACCTCTGAAGCTTCCTTTTGATAAGCTAAAAAGATTAAGCTTTTTTTTTCCAGTCTAAACCACCTTTCAGTCTCTTTTCTAAGCGTGCCGTAGAATTTAAATATAATTTTAAAACAATACACTGTACGCATACTCCCAGTATAGGGAGATGAAATCTCCTCCAGACTCCTGCTCTGTTTCTCTTTTTGTCTCATAATCACATTAGCCCTCTTGTACTTAGTCTTTTGCTGAGTTGTTTATCTGTTCTGACTTTGGCATCCTTTGCAGTGTCAGAGTTTGGTGCAGCCCCAGATACGGGCTGGCATCCTTAGCAGTTGTGTTTGTAGTCCTTGTTCTTAGATGTCCAAGGACCTGTTTGGTTGCACTGCAGCAGCTCCCACTGGACCAGGCTGTGCTGGACTAAGGGGTCCAGATCACACTCTGTGACTGTGCTGTCTGGTATTTAATGCTTGGCTGATCTGCAGGGTTTAATAGGCAAATCTGTATTTGTTTCTAGATTGAGATGTTGACCAGCATTGCGGTTGAAACTGGTCTTCGAGGGCATGTAGTAAGATTGCTCAATGTTTATTCTCTAATAACCTCTCTTAGATCTATCACCAGTTTTTAGTCTATCTGTTGTTTACAGTGTTGAAGCTGTATAATCTTTATTTGTTGTTTGGAGTGGTTATCCAGTGATAAGTCAACAAAAGCCTTACCAAAGTTGTTCACATTACCCCAGCTATCTTTCCTGCTTATGTGTGTAGCACATGTCCTTGGAGGAGAACTTTCAGTTTTCTGAAACGTTGCTGCATGATAGGTGCTGGCAAGCCAAAGCTTTTTAGGACTTACGGGTGCAAATGGGCTGAGTGGTCTGACTCGTGTTCAACCCAAGGAAATGTTATTTAGTATCTTCTTTTTCTTTCATCTAATACAAATGCACAACTTCTGATTTCCTGAATAATTTGAAAGTAGCATTTCTTATGCCACAATTAAAAAATTTAACTGTGGACACCTAGTCTGACCCATACAGTGACCGATCAGCAAGGGCTTAGTTAAAACAGATCTCTCACGGAAACATGAATTTTCAGCCTTCTAATGAATTCTTTTTAAAGAACTGCCTATTTTCAGTCCTGTTTTTTTTTTTTTTGTTTTTTTTTTTTTTCTTTCTACATTTTCTCTTCCAATTAGTTGGGTAAAATTCTCTTCAGTTGTGTGAAATTAGCCCTTTGAAAACCCTAGAGATTGATGGGGGTTGCCCCTTTGTTTGTCTGCACAAAATGTGAACCAGTCTTTCAGGTGTTCTCCAGTTCCTGTCCTGTGGCCCAACACATCTTTCTCTCTGGGTCCAAACCCCAGTACTTGATTCTGGATACACTAACTGCTTCTACCCTCAATCGCCTTCCAACCAGCTAGAATTCTTAGACACTCCAGTGATCTTTGGCTATTTAAGACTCCCATATGTGCCCAATGGTGATATCCTGTATGACATCAGGAAAATGATTTTTTTGTCTGCTGTGATTTTTGGTGGTCTATGAGGCCCCCTTTCACAGGAGTCCCCTCTCGTGGGCTGTGCTAGTTGGTGTATCAATCTCAAGCTTTCAAAATCCCTTGACTGTGAGCCATCAGTAGGCTAAATTTGAGTAATTGTGCCCTGAATGTGGTGTGCTGCCATTCCCTCTTCTTTCACTCACTCCATCTATCCCAAAACTCTATTGAATGAGTCACCAAGGTTGTAAAAGTTCCTGGGCAACCACACTTTTTTTTTTTTCTTGATGTATTTGCAGCATGTTTATTTTGTTGAAGCACATCAAGTTCTCTGCTTGTTCTCACCCTCACCCAGCTGTGCCCTCAGATTGCCCCTGCATGGGAAAGCTGGAGCAGATAAAGGATGAGGGGGAGAGTCATTGCATGAGCAGGGGGTGATGGGCCTTGACCCACACAGGTACAACCTGTGGTACAATGGAGTGGCTTCATTTCAACCTAATACTCACATGGGTGGGGAACCGTTTCCACACGCCACACTGCAGTGAACCCAGGCTTTCTGTAGTTTACTGTAGATGAGAAGATTGGAGGGGACTTCCTCTACCCTATCTGCTGCTTGGAAGGCAACCGTGCCTTTGGCAGATGCTTTACCCAACCCACTCTTAACAGTTTGAGTTCTGGGTATCCACTGCTTCCCTGGGCAATCTCTCCCTGTCATCAGCAGGCCTGGCTCTTAGCTGTTTCTGGTGTTTAACTGACATCTCCCCTTCCTTTCAGTATGACACGTCACTGCTTCTGTCTCCGCAGTGGGTAAATGATGCCTTTCTTCTTTAAGTCTATCATTTATGCATTCAAAGACCGTTTTCCTTGCTCTTCCAGAAACATTTTGGTGAGGTTAGTTCATATGAATTTGGTAGGGCTGAAGGATGTGCTTTATGCAACTCTCTAGGCACAGATCTGCCCTCTTGAAGTCGGCAGGACTTATTTCCTATTGAACGAGGACTGAGCCACTTCTTTAAATGTTTCTTATTCAGGTACCACCTCAGAACTCAAATTCAAAAATAGCTGATGTTTCTGCCTCAACCTGTTGGTAAAAAGTGCTATTATTGGAGTACTGAAGGTTTCAGAACATTGTGTTCTTTAATTACTCTGATTGTATTGGAATTGTTGGAAACAGCTTTTAGTGCTAGAGGGTGATGGTATCGCTGTCTTAATTCAGATGCAAGGCAGCACTGGAAAGAGGACTTAATACTGCCTTTCATTTCAGTATGTTTCACAGTGAATTAGAAACATTGCTCTTTATTAATGGGAGTTGCTTATAGCAGCAGCATTCTGTAACCATCACTGAGGCTTGGGAGGCTCCAATGACTCTGGTTTGCACAGTGTGAGTTTTGAGATACTGCTTGTGTTTATCATGTGATTCTTTTCTGCCTGTATTACTCAGTTAAACCTGGATGTGAGACAGACATCAATCTGTTCCCTGTCTCAGTGTGACGTAGGCATCTACTTGTGAAGTGAAAGAGGATTGTTTCTCCTCAACCAGTTCTTCCTGAAAGCTAGGATTTCAGGAACGTGGATAAAATGGTTTGCTGGTTTGGATTCAGCAAGTTCCTCTGTGTTCAGCACTGAGCTATGATGATTAGTGAAGGTTTTGAGCATTAGGACCAGGTGCAGATTATCTTGTAAGACCTATTTTGCAGATTAATATGATTTTAAACATAAAATCTTTTGCTTCTATTTTTCTTCCACGTGCTTTGGGGGAGATGCAAGGTTACACTTCAATGAAGATATCTTCTGTAAAATGGAATGTTTTTCCTATAAGTTTCCATTTATTTTTGTAAGGTAATAAATCTTAGCATGGTGTTTCCATTGCTGTAAGTGAGCACTAGTTTAAAAATAAGGTTAAACGTGTGTCATTCAAAAGCTTCTTCACTTGGCATCCACAAAACTTTCAATTTCAGCATCTGTGCAAGACTTTAAGCTGAATGTGGACATGTAGGCCTATTTCACAAGCGGAACTTGCAGCAAAGCTGCATTACTGTGAAGTAGATAGATACACAGCATAAGAAATGCCAGTTGGAAATGCAGATTTTAAAGGTGTGTTTTGTTCCTGTGGCTTTGTCTGTTTTCCCAAGTGACTCTGAAGATGGCAGAGGTTTATTTCTGGGGGGTTTTGATAACACATGTATGGAGCATGGGCTCACTGCTGCTCCCTGCATTGCGCACACAGTGAGTCCTGGTCCCTTGTGTTGGCTGGAAACAGTTCTCAAGTCGGTATCAACAACTGTACTAGGAAAATGTCATGGCTCGTTGAGTGTGGTGAGATTCTGTTGTTCTTGTTTCATCCTTCACTTTTCTCCAGAAGAGAAAACATAATGTATGTGCTAGTAGTGATGTAAAACCTGAGCTGGCAAGCAAGGGGATGGAGGAGTTGCTGACATGGTAATTCCCAATGATATTTCTGGAATGCTGGAAGCAAAGGCAAATTCCTATGTCTGGAGTGAAAACTTCAAAAAGCCCTTTATGACGCTTTTAGCAGTGACATGAGCTGTTGGTGTTTTCTTTTCCACCAGCCTGTGTTGTGAGCCACTGTCACCAACCGATGCTGTTATTGTAGCATCGGTGCTGAGAACTGTATCCTCCTGGATACCTGACCTCCTCTGCTGCCATTCCATAGGGGGACTGAGCCAGCTCTTGCAAATAGAAGCCGAGTTGGTTGTTGCTGAAATTGATTGCTGTGGAGGCTTCAGTTTCACGCTCTTGCCACTCTTCCTGTGGACATGGGATGTTTCCAGAGAGCAGAGCGGTAAGCCCTGCAGTGCTGGCTGAAGGCCCTGCCTTGTGCTGCCGGTGCAGGCTCCTATCAGCTGCCTTCCAAACGGGGTCCTGAGGGCATGGACCAAGGTGGGTGAGTTGAGGTGGAGTGCAGGTGCCTGTAGGGCCGATCAAATGATGCACTTTAGAGCACTGCTGTAGGAATCCCATTCTTCTGTCTTCTCAGTATATTTGGGA